TTTTACAAATCAATTACATTTCATCAAAATCTAAAATCGTTAAGCAAGCAGTCTTACCAGGAAAATGAGGTATGATTTCACCATCTAGTTTGTATGCAACACCAACTTTGATTTCTGGAAATACATCCAAGATATCCAATTTGGTAAGTGCCAATCTGTGAACAAACATTACTCTGGTCAAACAAGTTCAACAGCTTTCAACTCTCATCACACTGTAAAAATACCAAAAGAAAAATTGATTCCCGCACACTGCAATAAACTGTCTTTCCTTACAAAACTAGCTTGCTTGGCATTAACCAAGTTATCTGGTATGACTTAAAAAAAGAAAAAAAAAACCCCAAAACTTTAAACAGCCTTTTTTTTAATCTAGTCCTTAGATCTAGTACTTTAGGAAAATGGCAGAATTCAAAGAACAGCTATTCTCCAATTAAAATGACTGGTCTATAGCTTTTAAGCGTTAGAATTTTAACTGAACAGAGTGCTGCCAAGATATTTTATGACCATTCGTTTGAGATGGTTTCATAGCACGATGCCTGTTGATGTCTGCTTCTGTCCTCTGCCAAATGTTCCTGTCCTACAGTGAAGGCAGCAAACACTGGCTCTGTTAATACCTGGCTGCATCCTATCTTAAATAAAAAAATACAAAGGACAAGAAAAACATGAAGAGTTAAGTGAAGCATACATTTACAATCTGATCTACCAGAACTTTCATACCAATTTTGTTTCAGACATGTATTTTTCATCTTATTTAAAATCCCACATTCATATCTAAATATTCTGTATTTACACATGCAGCTGAAGACACTGATAGGTTCCCACCTGTCTTACTTTGAAAACAAACTAACAAAACCCCACAAACTATATCAGGTTTTAAGGCCCTTGCAAGCCATTTGATTTGGTTTGGTGGGACAGCTGGAGTTGGGGTCGTTTGAAGCTTTAAGTACTAAGATATGTAGGGGCTTCTTGGATCATTTTAAGTAGGAAATAACGATGTGTTACAAGTAAAAGGAAAGAAGAATTTACGAGTATGAAAACGTCAAATATAAAAACATTTAATGCTAGGAAAAATTAAGGACAGTTAATTCATCAAAATATTGAAACAAACAACCGATCAACACCAAAAGTCCGAATGTTACTAAGTAGGCTATCTACAATTTACAGTAATCTGTAGCATTTCATTATTTTATGTCATGTTACCAGGAAAGGTGTCAAAATAACTCACGCAGTAAATCCATTAATCATGTAGGCATATCGGAGTAACACAAGGTCCAGCCAGCCACATCTTCTCTTTCTACCAGTGGTAACACCAAACTCTTTACCTCTTGCTTGCAGCAACTCTCCAATTTCCTAACAAAGAGTAATACTATTACATGAGCTTTTTTTAAATTATTATTTGCAATACATGGTGCAGGTGTATACTTAATAACATTTTACAATATTGCAAATTACCTTAGAAATTCTTCCCAAGTTGCCCACTGGGATGAAAACAGAAATACAAAATGCAACTTCTAATTCAATAATATGCTATTTGAACCAATCTCTCAAAATTTGTTCCTGCTCCAGCCTTCTATTCCACAAGAAGGTCTGAGAAACTGATAATCAGATTCAGCACACTGTACACTCAGTCTAGAATCAGATGAACGAGGCATCTAAGTACACCACCATCTACTTGCATTTAACCATTAACACTGCCTTAACGGACAGACACACCAAGTTATTTCACCCAGTTATAGGTTGCATCCAGGGCTGATAATACTCACATTATCTTGTTCTGTAGGAAAGGCACCAATTCCAACTCTCGTTGTATATGCTTTCACAACTCCATACACTTCCCCAACATTCTGTGGTGGCATGCCCAGGCCTGTACACACACCTCCAACTGTACAGTTTGATGAAGTCACAAAAGGGTATGTGCCTATTAAAAAAAAAAAATTGGTTTAAAAAACTTACTAAAACACAGGTTTTAAACTCTTTTGTTGTGGGATTTTTGTTTTGTTCTTTTTTGGTTGTTTGGTTTTGGTAGGTTTTTTTAATTATTATTTTAATTTTTTAAGTCAATCTAACCTGATAAGGAACAGTACTTGCATTGCACTTACCTGAACATTAAAAAACCAAAACACACAATAAACATATTTTGCAGTCAAGAACATATTTAACCAGCTCTTAGCTCTGAAGGTACATTGTCTGATCCTTCTTTATTGAAAAAGGTATAAATCCTACCACTTACTTTAACCGGTACAGAGGCAAAAGCTGACTACATAACAATTCTGAATGAACTGGTCAGCACATTGTAAGGATAAGAAATTGTAAAGAAATGTAGAATTTGGAGAAGAACAATTTTGATTACATAATCAAATAAAAAATTTATTTCCACAATTAAAGCTTTTAATAAATAAATAAATAAATAATTTCTGGGATATAGTATAGTTCATTAGTGGTGAGTTTGTCTCTAATTAAATATTCAGCCCTCATTTAAAAAGCAGCCTGGACAGCAAAGAGAACTGAGTTCAACATCTTAAAATCCTTAGATGTAACAAATGCTTCAGCCACAAAGTAACTGCATATAAATCAGAAAGTCTACCTATGCTTCAGACTTTTTTTTTGTTTTGGTATAAGAGTCAGGGATGGCTGAAGTAGGAATACCCAAAACAAAAGGAACTGAAAGCAATGCAGACAACTTTAAGAGGAAAAAATCCTTCAGAGATTCTTCAGTGAGGTTTTGCTGACAAGCTTCAGGTATCTCTAGCTTATCTCAAATCTCTCAAGACAAAGACACAGGCTTACAGGTGATATGTATCCTAGGTTCAGCTACAGCAGTCATTTTTT